GAGAGAGAGAGAGAGAGAGAGAGAGAGAGAGAGAGAGAGAGAGAGAGAGAGAGAGAGAAGTTTCATTGTAATAAAAAGCCTATAGTCTACCCTAAAAGAAAAAAGCAAACATGAATTTTTGCGTTATTTTTAACATAATCTTCTGCTGTTGCTGCTATGACCACTTTGCCACAATGTTGTCCAAAAAAAGGAACATCATATTCACACAATTGATACAATTTATTCTGCATACTTAACTTCCCCATCTTTGTTTCATCTCACTTGAAGGAAATAAAATCCCATATACAAGATAAATGGGAAATTTAGCAAGAGGTAGTTTTCACTTATTCCATCAGGACCCATCTGTTAACATCCTACAGGACATCTAACAGATTACAAGCACTTTTCTCCGATGATCTGGAGTGGGATAATTAGTTGGGGGGGAAAACATTAATTGGCCTGCCGTTGCACACTTTAATATCAATAGTACTTAGACTTATATACTGCTTCACAGTGTTTACAGCCCTCTCTGAGCAGTTTACAATGTCAGCATATTATCTCCAACAATCTGGATCCTCATTTTACCGACCTTGGAAAGATGGAAGGCTGAGATAACCTTGAGCCAATCAAGATTGAACTCCTGACAGTGGGCAGAGTCAGCCTGCAATACTGCATTCTAACCACTGGGCCACCATGGCTCTATATTTGTGCTCTTTAAGCACAAATGCCAGGCTTCTCTTTTGGTTAAGAGACAACCTTTATGAAATGCTCACATATATAGAAAAGCAGAAAGTTCAAGCAAAGGTTAGAGCCCACGTTGTGTGACTATCCTAGAAAAAGTTTGAATAGCAAAATTAATTCCTCACAACATTGATTTGAATATTTAGAGCCAAAGCAAACCAGTTACACTGAGAGCGAATAATTTAAAATGTTCTCCTTGGTTCCACAAACATTATCTCACAATCCTAGATGTGTCTCACTCAGACAGAAGTCTTTTGGGATTCGTTCCCAGTATATGTATATTGGATAGCAGCTTTAATCCATTTACTCATTAAACTTAATTAAGTTAAGCTTTAGTTAAATCACTACTAGAGCAAATGTTCTATCTGCACGTTTGGAACTAGAAAAATATTTGTATATTTGTTCAGGCTGTTTGATACTGGTACTTTGGCATTCCCACAACACTGCACCTGGTAATAATAAATTTGAATGCTTTTTAAAAAAAATCTACAATTGAATTTATATTTAATCAAATAATTCATTCTTTGACATGCAGATGACTAGGTAGGCAAGTATTGTGTCAGTTTATAAACTGGTGCTTTAATTCACCCAGGAAAGAAAACCCATGTCTACTAAGACAATGTCTACTAAGACAAGGTGAACAAGCCCACAAATTGGACATACCAATATCCTTCTCCCTCTGGAAAAACAAAACAAAAAACAAAAGAATTCCAAATGACAGAACTAGAAGGCATTCCCGTTTGGTTTTGGTTTTATGCTCCACTGTTCTTCTGACCATTTCTGGTCTGTTCAAGATGAAACTAAGTCCTTCCAATACTTTGGGCACACTAGCTATTCCAGAAACATGATGGTTAGCCAAATGATTCGGAACTTGAGAAGAGGCCTGTGGTCTGCTCTTCATTAAAGTTATTTAAGGGAATTCAGAGAGACCGAAGTTCAAGTCATACCAGAATCCGTTTCTACTCTACCCACAAAGAGCCCAGCAAATTGCTTTGCTCTCTCTTTTAGAAAAGGTAGAACTGTTTTACCTGGGCAATGAGGAGAGGGAGTTCAGCATTTCTATTTCTGCTTTTTTGCAGCTGCAGTTTGGTGGACTGGAAATGTTTGTAATATCCTGATGTTGTAATTATGTAATTATTATTTGGGGGGCAAATTCTTTCCTATCATTCCAGTGGTATGTTACCCAGAGTAGCCAAAAATGAAATTTAAATAATTAAACAGAGTATATACTCTAAAACAGGGGTTCTCAACCTTGGCAACTTTAAGACTTGTGGACTTCAACTCCCAGAATTCCTCAGCCAGCTTTGCTGGCTGAGGAATTCTGGGAGTTGAAGTCCACAAGTCTTAAAGTTGCCAAGGTTGAGAACCCTTGCTCTAAAATATAATGCAGTAAAATATATTTGATTTCTTCCTTTTTATATTAACATTATTTCCCTTTCTACAGGGGACACAATATTTATAAACAAATAGGCTGCAATTGGACCTAGGATTAGGCAGCACATTCACATCCAAGGTAAAATTCAGCCTCTTCGTGGAGCAGATCTGATGTCATGAAAAGACAACAAATTGTTTATTACCAATGAGAATGATAATTACATTGTCACTATCAAGGAAGGATGGGCTGCTGGTGAGATTTTAGTCCTGTGAGTCTTACTTAGTCTTACTCTTCGATCATTAGGTAGTGATGTATAGCTCTACCGAAGGGAATAAATTAGAATCAAGATCACGTGAAGTGTTAATACCACTTTACAATGCCTTGGTAAGGCCACACTTGGAATACTGCATCCAGTTTTGGTCACCGCGATGTAAAAAAGATGTTGAGACTCTAGAAAGAGTACAGAGAAGAGCAACAAAGATGATTAGGGGACTGGAGGCTAAGACATATGAGGAACGGTTGCTGGAATTGGGTATGTCTAGTTTAATGAAGAGAAGGACGAGAGGGGACATGATAGCAGTGTTCCAATATCTCAGGGGTTGCCATAAAGAAGAGGGAGTCAAGCTATTTTCCAAAGCGCCTGGAGGCAGGACAAGAAGCAACGGGTGGAAACTGATCAAGGAGAAAACCAATCTAGAACTAAGGAGAAACTTCCTGACAGTGAGAACAATTAACCAGTGGAACCACCTGCCTCCAGAAGCGGTGAATGCACCAACACTGGAAGTTTTAAAGAAGAGACTGGACAGCCATTTGTCCGAAATGGTATAGGGTTTCCTGCCTGAGCAGGAGGTTGGAGTAGATGACCTTCAAGGTCCCTTCCAACTTTACTATTATTATTATTATTATTATTATTATTATTATTATTATTATTATTATTATTATTATTAACTTGGGTCCTTGGGATAACTTAGGTGTTGGGGACATATGAAGTGAAACATATTATAACATATTTTTCAGCTTATCCATTGAATGGGCTACACCAGAATTTGTTGTGACAAACCTGGAATAGGACAAGCCAAACCAAAATCCCCAAATGTTTAGGGAATGTATAACTGGGCAATATTTTCCCAACTTTAATCTCCTGAGCTCCCAATATTTAAATAGGAGCATCTCTTCTTGATGTTTTACTGTCACTATTCTACCCAGAGCTAGAGACTCTTACAGCATAATTCTCTCCATTTCTAAATGGAAGGATTGAACTAGAACAGGGGTGTCAAACTCGCAATGTCACGTGATGTATCGCGATGTATCATGACTTTTTTTCTATTGCCGGCAATGGGGTGGGTGCGGTTTCGCCATGATGTATCTGGCCCGCGGGCCGGCAGTTTGACACCCCCTGAACTAGAAGGCTAAAAGCTAGATTAAAAGGTTGTAACTTTAAGCCCTCCCATTTTGTATTGTGATCACTGGATGTACTGTTGGAAACAATGGTGCATCCAAGCTGCCATGAAACTAATGAAGAGATGTA